TAGAAGTGGATTTACTTAGGCATATGGTAATCCTGTTTTTACTTTTTTTAGGAACTCCCATACTGTTTTCCACTGAGACTACATCTTCTTTATTTTATTTTATTTTTTGGTTAATCCTCACCTGAGGATATTTTTTCCCATCGATTTTTAGAGAAAGTGGAAGGAAGGAAGGAGGAGAAATAGAAAAAGAAAGAGGGAGAGAGAGAGAGAGAGAGGGAGAGAGAGAGGACATCAATGTGAGAGAGACACATCAATTGTTTGCCTCTGGAACAACTGACTCAGCTGGGGCTGGGGATCAAACCTGTAACCCTTGTACATGCCCTTGATTGGGAATTGAACCTATGACCCTTCAGTGTGTGGGCCAACACTCTAACCACTGAACCACATGAGTCAGGGTGAGACTGCCATTTTGTATTCCCACCAACAGTGCACAGGGTTCCAATTTCTCCATAACCTCGCCAATATCTGCTATGGTCTGTTTTTATTATAGTAGGTATCCTAATGGGTTTGAGGTGCTGATAACAAATAAATTTTTATAGCATAAAAATATTTGCAAATTGATAGTTTTTGCTATTACCTAACTATTCAAGTTGACCATGTTTCAACAAACATCAGAACATAATTTATGTTTATAAAGATATTTCAGACCTTAGCCTGATATCCAAAAATAATTAGAAAAAAATGTCTGGAGAAAAGTGACAAGTAAAAGAAAAATGGGAAGGATAATGAAAAAATAAACTTAGAAATCTTCCAGTGGTTTGAGACTGATAAAAAATTTAGTCAGAATTCTAAAGCTTTAAAATCATCTTTTGATGGGCAACAGGCGAAAATTTAGCAACATTTTTTCTTTTATATTTTTATTCTCAATGACTTGTGTACTACTCAATTGTAATAATTTGAATGTTGCTGCCATTTTGAGGGTTATTTAAATATTTTAGTAGGTGGTTATTTTCCTTTAAACATGTATTGTCAAAGGGTTGCATACTTGAGAGTGATCGTATTATATTCTAGGACCAGCCTTTTTTGTTTTTCCCCAAGAGTAATAGTCAATAATTGTATAATACTACTCAATAGAAAAACAGGATTCCCTTAAGAGAATTTTTTCCGTTAGCTTTGCAGGAACACACTTATTCCAGTGAGAACAGAACACCTGAGCTGACATCCACTCAGAGAACTAATAACTTGCCAAATCCTACTTATCAGCGTGTATCCTTTTCTCAATTAATTCAAGATTCCCAGTTTGTTTACTTTCATCTCCAAAATAGCAACAGCCTCCTTTAATATTTCAGACAGTCTGGCATTTAAGTAACTGATTGGTGAACGTTCAATTGCACTCAGAAGGCAACAGCCGGTCTCATCATCCGTAATTCATTAGCATATAATGAAAATGCCATGCCAATCAAATTAAAGTTGCATGTGATAAGAGCTCTTTATTATTGATCGAAATTCTTCTTCTCAGCAACTGTTGGAACTGCATTTGGTCAAGATTGGTTCTCTGCCCGCACCCGAGTTGCTTTTCTCCCTTCTCCCTTCTCTCACACATCACGTTCTTATTCGGCGTCTGAGCAGCCAAGAGCACCAGCACTCCACCAACCTTGCCTTCAGCTGTTATGGTTCTGTTTTCTTCCTCTTCATCTCTTTGCATTATTCATCGCTGGGCTACAGCAAAATATTGGAATGAATAGCACATGGCAACAGAAAGAAGAGACACCCCTTCACAGAATTTGTGTTGTATATGTTTAAATGCTTTCAGCTTTAAAAATCTGCCATGCCAAAATTAAAGCTATCACGTATATTCTAACCACCGCATACCATATGGCATGATGCCACTACATGGAGGATAATCACCAAAAATCCATATCCATGTTTTCAGGAAGGCATAAAAATATGATTTATATACATTTTTGTTGTGCTTTTTTAAACAAGGGGTAAGTAACAAAATAAAACATGTCACATTTTGTTTATCCTCTTAGGCCTCACAGCCGAATATGTCTTTAGTCTGCAAACATTTAAGATTTTTAACTTCAACATTTCACCACAGAAGACATCTGAAGGTTATCCTCTTCCCTCCACTCTAATAAATTCTATAATTCAGTGCTTGATCAAAGCCTTTCTCTCCTAGCTCTCACAATGTAAAGAAAGAAAATTTTAAATTGAAGTCATTTAGAATTCCTCAGTAGTTAAAATGTTTTTTCATAGACACAATCAAACCTTCTTTAAAGTTGCAATTAATTCTTCGTTAGGGGAAAAAAAAATTCCATATGGAATGAAATTCTCTGGAAATCATGTGTTTGCATTCCTGCTGTATGATTATTCTTACCACACCAGAAACTTCTTAATTAATTGCACTCTTCATGGCTACACGAAAACAGATGTAAATAAGTGCTTTTTATAACCATTAACTTTCACAACAGGCTTCCTCACAGGAACCGTAGGGGCGAATTGCTGAAAGGCAGCTGTGGGTACGGACCACTGAAGGAAGGCTCACACACAGTGGCTCTTCTTCATTTGCATAGGTGGTTCCTTCTAAACCCAACAAGTGGACAGGAAGACATTTCCAAATGCAAAAGCTCAAAAATTGCCTTTAAAGACAATGCAATTTAAGGACAAATTGCATCACTGTGTTGAGTTCTGAATGGTTATTACATAATTAGGGCTGAGAGTTGGAGGGAAACCCCCCCCCCCTTTACTGGCTTGGTTTTATTTTTTAATTTTTTTTAATTTGGCAAGAAAGCAAGACTACTGAGAGTTTGAACCAATGAAAAAATGCAACTGTGAGAGAAACTAGAGTGGTAAGAACTAATAAGAGCAAAACACAGGACAAGGCCTTGCACGGAGTCCAAGAGAAGTCCACCTGGCCTCATGCCAAGCCTTACTGATCTGAGGGATGGAGTTGGTTAAGGAGGGACCATGCCAGGTCTTCTAGGAGCCCCAGCATGGTGGAAAGGAAGGAAACGAGCCCATCTGCACACACTCTAATAGCAGAGTATTAATGTCAAGTAGCTTGTTAACATGTTTTTTCAGGCTTCTTGGGGAAAAATAGCAAAAATGTTACAACTACACAAATGTGAGTCTAAAATGCCCAACATTTTATAATAGATATGATATGCCTCTTTGCATCATGTTTTTCATCATAAATGTACTCCTCCCTCCCCCCCGTTTTATTGAAGTTAATTAACAAATCAAATTATAAGATATTTAAAGTGATATGTATTATTACATATATTAATATATGTTAAAAAAGGAAGCCCTGTTGAGTAGATTGACATATCCATCCCTTCATATATTCACATAGTTCCTTTTCTTAGGGAGAACATTTGCATTCTACTCTCTTGGCAAATGTCAACTACATAATGCAAGGGAATCAACTATGTAGAGTGGGGCAAAAGTAGGTTTACCATTGTGAGTACTCCAAACAATTTGTTTTTGTATTATTATTTATTAATTATTGCATTATGTCCCATCAAATAACTGTAAGCCTACTTTTGCTCCACCCTGCAGTCACCATGTTATATATTTGATCGTCAAACTTTCAGCTTTGAAGTTACGTTTAAGTTAGCAGCTTACACTTCTGTCGGAGTGAATTGGAAAAGGAGACCTCGCATTAAGCCAGGGAGAACATCAGAAAGCAAGAAGGAAATCTGCTAGTGACAAACTTGAAGCCTGTGCTTTTTCGGTAAGTGCAGGTAACTTTTACTCCATAGATTCTCTCATGGAACACAAAAGAACACCAAGGTGCAACCTGCACATACCAATGAGAGCTACGAAATGGAGCTTAATCTGTGAGAATTAGGCCCTGTGCTATTTTTAAAAATCCATCCATGATTCTCTCACAGGCTTTAATTAGTTTGTGCTTTTGCAGAGGAGAGTGCTCTATCATGATCTCACATGAGTTACCTGATTATGGTTTCTGAGGCCTGTTCATTGTTGCAATCAAAAAATAATAACAGCTACCAATTATTAAGTGTCATGTATTTAACATTATGTACTTTACATAATCATCCCTAATTCCCAAAACAATTCTATAATCTGGGTATTATCTCCATTTTTCACAAATGAAACCTGGGGCTAAGAGAGGCTAAGTAACATGTCAAGTCACAGAGCTGCTGAGTGGAGAGCCAGAATCCAAATTCAGAGCTGCCTGACCACAAAGGCCAAGCTCATTGATGAGACACCTCATCGGATCTGCTAGATAACAAGAGCAAGCCCAGGATGTCTCTGGGGTACCATAGTCTCTGAGCATCTCTCTTCACATCTCCATTTTGCAAGGTCTCTGTTTTTTCCTTAAGGAAAAATGAAGGACAGCCTTTTCCTTTATAATTACCCATGAAATAAGTTTAATTTGGCTTTGTAGGATTTATAACTCTAATCTAAGGGAGGGACCAATGTCCAAATACAAATGTGGAAATAATTATTGAGACCTATTATGCATGCGGAGATCTTGACCAATCACACGGAGTGAAGGTTCCCTCTGTCTCTGTGACTGAAGCCATCCCACCCCATGTTCATGTAGGCCTTCCTAGTTTACAATCATAATTCCAGGTTCTAAGACATATTGCTGTGTGTGCACCCCCTCCGCTCCTCTCCCCCCAACACACACACACACACACACACACACACACACACACACACACAAGTTTATCTCTCTTGGTCTTTTTACTTCTAATGCATGACACTGAAAGATTTAGCATATTAGTGGTGCTCAATAACTATTTATTATCATTAATTAGCTGAATGCCTCCAGAAAGCCTAATGAAAAGGGAAAAGGGGGTTTGGTTTAAGAAAACATATGATTAGGCCTCCCTGCTGACATCCTCTTTTTGATTACAGAACTTGCCTTTTGGACTCAACTGAGAAACAGCATTCTCATAGCTACGTTTCCTTTATCCGAACTGATCTCGTGTATAAAAGAGAAGGGCCATTAAAAGAAATTAGTATAAATTAAAATTAAACTGGAGTTTGCCCACATTGTATCAAAATCAAACCAAGCAGCTTAATCTTTAAAAGGTCCTCCTTGGGGGTTTTCTTCTTCCTTCATTGTTTAGGCAGGAACTTCTCCTCAGACCTTTTAGTTCATCCTCTCCAACTGACTCAGGAAAGTGAGGGCGGTTAAGAGCCAGGCTGGTGTCCTGGGATTTGTATGGAGAAGATTCCCTTTCACTACTTGATAGCCTCAGGGCTGAGACGGCTGTAACACACCACTCATCACCAACAGTGTCAGGAGTTGTATCAGCATCTTCAAAAAGAAAGTCATTTTTAGTTAAAAATAGCCGTATTCTAAGCTTACCTCTGTTCCCTGCACACTTTTTAAAGTCCAAGTGAAAATATTTCTTGAACCTGTGTTTGACATGCTCAGTAATTCCTAGGAGGCATAAAACACCTTTGTTTTATTTCAAGAAGCTATCGGCTCTCTGGCTGTGGTCAAAACCAGAAAGGTCTTAAAAATTGGCTTGGCTAGCATCCCAAAATGTTATTCTAACCCCCGACAGATCTTTCACCAGGAGAATATGAATCAAGCCGCATTTACCTTAGTACAGTAGCTATTTGATTTGCTTAAAAATCATAGTGTTCCCGTTTATGTAATAAAGAACAGTAGAAGACAAACACCGGTCCTTGGAGCGACTGTAATTAATGTAAGGAGAGTTTTCTGGTACAAATGTTATGTGATGCTGCGGCCTCTTCTACATCTAATAGTGTCAGGGGGGGTGGGTAGGGAAAGTCAAAATACTTCTGATTTGTTCTTTAGGCAATAAAAATTATATATAGGGCCTCTGAGAATTGAGTTGATTTCCAAAGATCTAAAGAGCAGGGGAAGAAGTGATGATGGCCTTTTGTTTATAGAAGCAAACTTCCAGTACTAAGTGACTGTCTGGGGGGTAGAACGAAGTATGGTTTTAATTCTGCCCTGAATCAAACTCTGAATAAAGTGGTGGAGCTCGCTGCTAACACACAGTCTTTCTCTCAGACAGCCTGCTGAGTCCAGACCAGAGCGCTTGGACTTTAGATTTGGAAACAAGCTGGTCAAGATGAAATGCATCAAATATTTCATATAATTTTTTTAAAAAATGATCATGATCTATCTGGAAGAAATAATCTAGGATAATTGTTTTCTAATTTTTCCCCCCATTTTCTTGATCTTGCACACCTTATTTCAAAGAAATGTGTGCCATGACTGCAATTTTGCACATGAAACCCAAAGGCCCTCTCATCTTTATACGATTTGTATGTTTTATTAATGTAAAAAGAAATTCGAGTTTTGGAAACTTCCAATTGGTTTGTAAGAAATAGAGTATTATTTGGAAACTACATGTAAATTCTATTTTAATTACCCCATTGGCAGACCTCAGCAAACAAACCATGCAATCTCCATTACCCGATGACTTTAAGAGTGAGCATTTTGAGTGGATTTGATTCAAGTTGTTAATGAGAGTTAGAGCGGTGGCTTATTTCACTGGATTTTCACTTCCTGAGACAAGGAATCAAGTACTGAATAAATCAAGTGCAAACGGCTTTGTCTTAGCCTCCGACGATCAACACCAGAAAGTGACTGTCTTTAGCACGATCAGCAGGCCTCGGCATGGCAGCCTCGCCGCCCGGAAGAGAAGAGGCACCTGGCAAGTGCCCAGCCTCTCACGTTGTATCTCATAGGAAGGGCAGTCTCTGATGATCTTTGCTATTGCTCTCGGCTCTTCTTACGGTTTACAAATTGTAGGGCAGGCACCACTGTGACACAGACAGTCAGTTTCTGTCTTCCTGACATGCATAATTCAAGAAGCCTCAGAGGAACCTTAGCCGGTTTGGCTCAGTGGATAGAACGTCGGCCTGTAGACCAAAGAGTCCCAGGTTCGATTCAGATCAAAGGCAAATACCTTGGTTTCAGGCTTCTCCCCAGCCAGGGCCCTGGTTGAGGCTCTTGCAGGAGGCAACCAATCAATATGTTTCTCTCACATTGATGTTTCTCTGTCTTTCCCTCTCTCTTCCACTCTCCCTAAAAATCAAAGGGAAAAATATCCTCGGGTAAGGATTAACAAGAGCCACAAAAGAAGCCTAAGAGGAAATATGTGACCTCTCCCTAAACCACCTAAAGAAGAGGGATGAGACAACTCGCCATACAAGCCCACCACAGTAAAATGCAGTCATGAAATTTAACTTGCTCAAGTTCTTCCTCAAAGTGAGCTCAAGTTCAGAATAAATCATGACTATCGTTTAAGAACAATAGAATGTGAAAGTGAAAAAGGAAGCCTGGCACCTGCCTGACTTTCATCCACTTGATGTCACTACTACATTGGAGCATGCTTGTTAAAGATAAATGAAGGGAAATGATTGAACTTGCAAAGGGCTCAGTGCCTGGCACATAATAAGCACTCAATAAATGTTGACTCTTCGGTCTTAGCTGTAAGATAGTCACATGCAGAATGATCTGTGTGAGTTAATCAAATGTAGGGCATACACATTTTTCAATGTATGTAAAATTAAATTATAGTACAACTGGGCCAAATTGAGAGCCTCCCAGAGCAGCAATTTTCAACTAGTGTGCCATAAGGATTTTTAAAACATGCAATACCTGACTATTAAGTCAGGGGCACTGATCTCTTTTCCCTTAGATTGTCAAATAAAAAAATAAAAATAAAAATAACAGCAACACAATAATAGTCATCCGGTGTGAATGAGTCAAAATTACAGTATATCTATTTTTTTTTTTTTGTCAAAAAAATATTTTTGACATGCTGCAGAATTTTTGTAATTAGTTGACATGTGCCATGAAATGGAAAAGGTTTAAAATTGCTGTCCTAAATATATGTGAAGTCCTGAAAATACCTCTACAGCATAACAGGGACTTGTTAGGACTTTATAAGAAAGGATTAGGACCATTTGTTTATTTTTCAGAAGATTACTCTACAGGGACCTACAAGGAGATGTGAGGCTTGTTGTCTTGGGTTGGTCCTCCCCAAATTTGGGGATTATTTAATGCAAATCATCTCGGATTTTAAACTGGCGATTCCAGCCTATTGCCTTAACTAAAACAAGATAGCCCCCTACCTTCGCTGAGAGGTCTCAGAGTCCCTGAAGTCTGGCAGCCTCCACTAAGCCAGCTGCTGTTTGCAGGATTCAGATGATCTGGGACTTCCCAGGTGTCAGAAGCAAACAATAGATCACAGCTGGCATTAATTGGCAGCACCCTGGTTGGCAGTCTCAGCAGAGAGAGGCCAAACACTGAACAGGCCACAGAGAGAGGACTCCCCTCACTCGGCTAATATTAATTGAAATGTCTTCGTGGAATGCTGTTTTGCACATTGCAATGAAAACAGTTTGTTTTTAGGCTTTAAACATCCCTCTGCTGTGTTTGCAATCTGAACACTACAGCATGTGTTAAAACATAAGATCCAGGGAGGCAAACTGACTATAAACAGAGTAGTTTAGGGGCTGGGGGTGGGGAAGCAGGGTCTCTCTTTTGCAATGTTCAAGCTCAGGGAAATGCACAGAAGTGATAACACAGCACAAGCAGGGGAAAAGGAAGAAATATTTCAACTAGAGAGGATTTTTTTCACTGTGTTTGTTGTTAAGAACCTTACGGAGGGAACATTATCTAAATCCATGAGGTTTCCCCCTGATGCTGCCCTCTTAAAAATCCTAGGCCGCTATGCTAAATATTACCCTGGTTTTCTAGGGCAATCTTCTCAATCCATCTAGTTAAAAGATACCTAGGAATGTGGTCTGTGACCAATAGCACAGATTAGCATGCTAATGTTGTAAGGGCAGCATTGTGAAATAAGCCGGAGATATCCCTGGAATCAGATTGAGCACACCAGGCCAGCCCCCGTGTATCACTCAGGATTACACACAGACGGCTAGGAATACAGAACAATCACTCCACATTTCTTTGTGCTGGTGTCATCCCCCCTTCGTATCTGGGAACAACAATACCCATATCTCGTCCCCGGCTACTGACATTTGTCATAAACTCCAATTGACCTTCTGCCAGAGGAGCTTCGGGATGATTCTCTTTTTTATCTTTCACAGTCTTCAGCATGGAATGATTCATTCCGGAAGTATCCGGGGCCCCGCGTGTGCTCCATGATGTGAACAAGAAGCAGGCAAATCGGTCCCTGCCCGAGGAATCCGAAGATAGGTTCGTGACACATGTCGACAATCTGGATGACAATGACAGCTCTCTGGTGCAACCTGAACAGGTCAGGGCTGAAGAGCAAAAAAAACAAGCCAAAGACATCCACACGGTCAGTTTACTCATCAAAGGCTTTAGGCTTTAGGGGAACATAAATTTGGAAATGTGCTTTGAAGAAAATGTGGGTTTTAGATGAAAAACATATTTCAGATTTTTTTTAAAGCAGAAGGAAAATAAAACAGATAAATAAGAAAGCCTTAAGGAGGGACACAAAAAATGTCAACTGGAATCAAGTGTACTCCCAGCTCTTTATATCACAGGAAAAAAATGAGGAAGTTGTGGTTATACTGGTTCATCATCCAGATATTAGAACACCCCAGGTTTTACAGATAGAAACATTCACGTTAAACAGTTAAGCAAGTCTCCAAAAATTAGGACTCCAGCCAGTGTCGTAACAATAGAACTGAACAAAGGCCCTCCCTGGAGTAGTATTCACTCAGTCCTGGTCCTACAAGAGGTATTCAGATGTGTGGAAACATTCTCTAATTCTTCTTTGACACTCAGAAACCATTACTTCTCAGCAACCACAAGCATCTTCGGTCCACCTTAAGACACCTAGGCAACTCTCTTCATTTCCTCCCTCCTGTTTTTCTCCCACTGTCCCCTGCCCACTCATATTCAAAAGACAGAGGGACAAACCCTTTCAGAACTTCTTTTTTTCCTATCTCAAAGCACTCCTACTTCTAATTGGCCACGTGAACATAACCCTTGGACTCGGTTTGCACAGCTCTAATACCTGAGAGTCAGTGTCCTGTGAGAAACAAATGTTCGACAGCTGAAAACATTTTGCTCAATTTCTATGGATAGAGTGCCATGCAAAGATTGAAAATCCTAACCTTAAAAAGACAAGCGAGTGCCTTCAATGCATACACTTAACTGCATGTAGGAATGCAAGTTATATCTCATGCTTTAAAAGTTCCATTGAAATTGAAGTTCCAAGACACTAGTGAAACTTTGTCCACTCTTAATCCCAGGAAAAACAATGTTATTTAAGGCAACCCATTGTCCAGCCAATCTCTCCCCTGTGATAATCTTCCCCACCTACTTAGTATCACAGGGATGAGGGAATTCGAGATGAGTTTATTATTATACTTTCTAACCTTCAAACTGCGAACTAAACAAACACAAGAGTGGGTGTTTAAAAATTAAGTGTGTTAATACAAATCATACTAATAAATTTCAATGCAAGCTCTGGGAGATCCATTTACTCCTATAAATGGTTGGGTACTTTCATCACAGTTATTATAGTAAGTATCCAGTAGTAGAAATAAACCCACACATCACTCTCTAGTAATGTGCTTAAAATGTACCGATCCAGTTGGGATTCAAAAACAAAGGACTCGTTCAATACATGTGGAAAAGGCTTTGAGATCTTTTGAAGAAAGGATAGACATGCGGAGAGTCCCCATTTTTATAGGTGACTTGTTCTAGATTTAATTACTGCAATAGAGAATTGCAAGACTTTTTTTATTATTATTCTGTCTGAACCCCTGCCGACCTACCTACATGAACTTGGGGAAGTTCTTAAGCATTCAGAGAGCATTACAACCTCATAAACAAAAAGGTGTGAAAACCAGAGCAAAAATTAGACCTTCAAGTTAATCTGAGATATATGCTTAGGATTATATCAGATGAAGGCAAGCTCTTGCCAAACAAAGATAAGAAATAATATAATTATAGAGTTTAAAAGGCAGAGACAATCTCAGAGCTTATTGAGTCCCACCTGCTCATTTCAAGTCCAGAATCTGGGAGGAATACATAAGATGTCCCAGGCCAATCAGCCAACAGCATCATGGGAACCTGGGAACCAGGAAACTGAAGCAACACATACACGCACTCACGCACACATATAAATAAAAATGTTTAGAAGAAAGATTTCTTCATGTATAGATAATGTTTGTACAACGAGAAAGTTGGGGGCAAAACAATAGAAAAACTGTTTTCACTCTTGATGTCTCTTAAAGAAATATGTTACTGCAAAAGTGGTTCCAGTCCCAAGGCAAACAAAACAAGACTGTTTCCACTGGTGTGTGGGTCTCCTGCTTCCATCCTAACTATGGAGAAACAGAAGAAAGCAATGAAGGAGGAACCAAGAAAGAAAAAAAAATTATTACTACTATTGAGGTAACCCAGTCCAGGGGCAAAATTACATAAAGAGGATTTTATTGTATTACTAGAGATCTGGTGCATGAAATTTGTGGGAGGGGGGAGAGGGAGGAGTTCTCTCTCAACCCAGCCTGCATCCTCTCCAATCTGGGACCCCTCAGGGGATATCCAACTACTTCCAGTCAAACATCCTCTCACAATCTGGGACCACTGGCTCCCAACTGCTCACTTGTCTGCCTGTCTGACTGCCACAACTGCCCCCCTCACCCCCACAAGCCTGGTCGCCCCTCACTGCCCCTCCCTGCTGGCCTGGCCACCCCCAACTGCCCCCCTGTGGTCACCCCATGCAGCCTGCTGCTCGGTCATTTGGTCGCCCCTCACTAACCCCCCTGCCAGCCTGTTCAGTCATCCGTTCGGTTGCAATGGTAACAATTAATATATATATATATATATATATATATATATATATATATATATATATATATATTAAAATAAGGAATAACTATACTTGTTGCAATTATTGTGTTGCTGCTACAATTTATATGCCAAACTCTCCTTCAAAATTAATATTATTAATGTTTTTAGCTCTTCGTGAAGAAATGATTCTGAGCGGCCTAAAGTTCTATATTTATTTGGAATTATTGACACTCTTCTATCAGTCCACCATGCCTGCAAATCTCTCCTGTTCTTAAGTCATCTCTTTGTCCTTTCTGACTCGATCACCTTCTTCACCTTTCCCTAACTATTATAGCCCATAAAGAAGTGACATAGACCGGCAGTCTCTGCTTCTCCTTTAATCTTCCATGTTCAGGGTCTCTTTCAGGTCTATTGAATCTGTTTCACGAATGCCAATGGATCTCCAGAGCCAAAGGCCTCCTTTCAATTGTCATCTGCCTGGCATCCAACCACCTTCTTCTGGGAACTCAGCTTTTCATGGCTCCCTTGAAGTCACTTAATCCCAATCTGTATGAACAGTTCCCAACCTTTGACTGGGTCCTCCACCTCCACCACTGGCCCCCCACTCAGTCAATAACAATTTCATCTCCTCTCCAGGTTTCATTTATACTGGTGCTTCTCCAGTGAACATGATGGTGCTGCCAGGAGACATTCAGCAATATGTAGAGGCATTTTGGGTTGTCACAACTGCAGGGCATGCCGACCATTTGGCACCTAGTGGGTGGAGGACAGAAATGGGTCTAAAATTCCTAGAGTATACATCCTACAGAACACAGGACAGTCTTCCAAAACAAGAAATTTTATCCAGCCCAAAATGTCAAGAGTGAAAGAATAAGATGCCTTGATCTACACTATGTGTAGACTGATGACTTTTATATAATTATCTACCATCTACATCCCTCAACTAAATTTCATTGCTATTTATAGTGCATCTCCCCATATGTGTCCAGTAATCATCATTACTTACCTCTAAACCTCCACTTTGCATAGTCTCTGTCTGTCCCAGGTAAAGGCCTCGTTAACTCCAAGCTGAAGTTGGAAAGCTTGGCATCATTTTCTACTCCCTCTTCATCGCCCACACAACTTATGTGTAACTGTGTTTTGTTTTATTTTATAACCCAATAACCCATGGGTGATCTGGTTGACTCCAGCCTCACCCCATTCCACTCCATTCTTTACACAACAACAGCCACCCTTCTGCAACCAGAGTTTTATCCGTTCTCTTTCACTTAAAAATTGTCAGTGTCTCTCACCGCCTAGCGGAGGAATTCTCAACCTGGATCTCAGGCTTGTGGAGAGGAAACGGAATGGGAATAGAAGGGATTTCCGCACCCCACCTAAAATTACATCTAAAGGTCAGCGTGCAGTGCACTTTCGGGAAAGAATATTAACAACTTTCAGTAGACTTCCTATGGCAGTGATTTCACAAACTTAAGCCCACGTCAAAATCTCCTAGAAAGCATGCTGAAACAGATGGCTAGGTCCCAGGTAAGTGCTGACTTTAGCGGGTCTAGGTGGACATCTGATCCTGAGAGCACACTTGGAAAAGAAGACTTTATAAAAATAGGGAGGCCCCCCTCATTCCCACAGGTTCTATTGGGGCTGGCCTGGGCTTCCGGATTCTTTTTAATCTCCCTAGGTGATTCTAAGGGCCACAAAGTTTGCAAACCAGTACTCTGAGGGATCCACAAGCCAAACTAGGTAAAGAACCTAAGGGATAGGGCAAACTGTGCTTGCACAGAGCCTCCTCCTCTGGCCTCCACCTCCCCTTCAGGTCCCTACACCACCCCACTCCTCAGTGGCCTATTCCTCTCTCTCTCCTTCCATTGCTTCACACTTAGCCCTCTAAAGAGCTCACCACACCAATAAGAATGGCCTGCACGCACTGTGAACCTTCCTGCCACTAGCCATATATTTCCCTCGGCCAGGAATGCTCTTCCCCAAACAATCTTCCTGGAAAATCCTACTCCTTCAAAATTAGCTAAGGTGTTACTTGCTCTGGCTCTCTCAGTTCCAAACCCAAGCCCACACAGCAGCCAGGCAGAATTATCCCTCTCCATGTGATGTTCCCATAGCCCATTATGCATACCTCTCTTTTGGCCCAGTGTAAAAGCCCATCGTTTACACTGCTATCTCTCACTGGGTTGTGATCTCCCTCAAGGCTGGAAAGATCTGGTACCTCTTGCAGCCCCTGGCACAGCCCAAGTAGTCAATATGAGGTACTAGTTCTTTCATTCATCTAGCAGGCAAAGGAAAGTTACCTTGGTCTAAAACCGTGGTTGGCAAACTGCAGCTCGAGAGCCACATGCGGCTCCTTGGCCCCTTGAGTGTGGCTCTTCCACAAAATACCAAGGCCTGGCAAGTCTATTTTGAAGGAGTGGCATTAGAAGAAGTTTAAGTTTTAAA